AAAAGGAGGAGGAGGAGGAGGAAAAGGAGGAAAAGGAGGAGGAGGAGGAGGAGGAGGAGGAGGAGGAGGAGGAGGAGGAGGAAAAGGGCAATGATAAAGAGGGATTTTCCGCATGGAAGATTTCTGGGAAAAGCATGTGGAGAAAAAGAGGTCATCAGGGAGAAGAAGAACACTATAACAATGACTGTGCAGATAAGAGAGATGGAGGGAAACCCATCCTGTCCGTCCCCTGACTTCCTATGACCTGCGTGGCGCGTGAAAACGTAGGCAAGTATGTCAACGTCAGGGGGACCGACAGTAAAACGACAATTTTATGGCATAAGCAGCCACACGGAGCAATGAATCAAAGAATGCAAAGTAGATCCTCGGTGAGGATGGATCACGTCAACCGAAATTGATGTTTGTTTGGCTGGGTTCAGTCCTTGCTGGGCTGGAATTTATCCTTGCTGGGCTGGATTCGATCCATGCTTGGCTGCATACAATCCTTCCTTGGCTGTGTAAGGTTCATGCTTGCCTGTGTACGATCTTAGAATTATTGCTGACTATAGACCCTTGGGAGTCGCACGTAATTGTTCCGACATAATTGCGACGCGAAAAAGCCACAAGCCGTTGAGACGCTTAAGTTAACCACCTGCCCCGGCGGCTCGAGCCCTTTAGAGATCGTATCACGCCCTCGGTGATGCGGGCATATGCAAGTTCTCGGACAATTTTCTTCTGTGGGGTGGGTCTTAATCAAATATGCAGATCAAGACAGGACTTATTGCTTGTTTTAAAGATCTGAGAGCTGGACATACGCATTTCCTTTCCTTTTAACCTCCTCTCCCCCCCTCCTCTCCCATCCCTAAACTTGCTCTTTCGGAAGGCATGAGGAAAGCAAAACCCGGAATGACGCCCAAAGTTCCTACTTCATCCTCTTATATTGCATCCCGCCCCTCGTCCACGGTCACGTCCTCCTCCTCTGCCTCACCACCAACCGACTCTCAGATTAGCAGCACCATTCTAGCGCTCACGACCAGGCGCGGTCCCTGTAGAACAATTTGTCCATCCGAAGTCCCTCGCGTCCTGTGCCCCTCAAATTGGCGAGCATACATGCCTCGTGTGCGAGCGGTGGCCATTCGCTTGGCCAAGGAGGGCCTCATTGACATTACACAGAGAGGACAAGTGGTCATAGTGGAGAAGGAGGGGGACATACGAGGTCCCATTCGATTGCGGACAATTTCCGATGGGAATGTTTGCACACAGAGCCAAACCTCTTCGAAAAGCTCTCCAGCGGCAGGGCCGGAAGCTGTCTCTTCCTAAGTCGTGCACATAGTCGGAGAAATCATTTGCTTTAGAAACAGACAGTAACGTGATGCAAGTTAGAAACAAAATAGCATTATTCTTTCTAAATTCGTCTAAAAATCATCTTACGAGTCCATCCAGCAATAAGTTCGACCACTTTACAATCTTTTGTCATGCCTTGAATTCCATGGCGGTGTGTCTGGATACCGGTCTTTCGGACATAGGCGCGTGTTTCCTTGTTCCAGGGTCGCGTCAAGCGCGCAAGACCTGAATGAGCCCGAATACATTTATTAGGAAGCGATTCTGGGCTAACATAGTCGACCATAGCTTTATGAGCGAAGGGGAAATGAACTGCCCAGCC